TCTTTCTTTCTTTCTTTCTTTCTTTCTTTCTTTCTTTCTTTCTTTCTCTTTCTTTTTGAGAGAGGGAGAGAGAATCCCATGAAGTGCAGAGAGAGAGGAAGAGTGAGTGCAGAGCCCATAGCAGGGCTCAAGTTCAGGAACCATGAGATCATGACCTGAATAGAGCCTGATGTTTAACCAACTGAGCCACTCAGGCACCCCAGACATTTTCTTTTTTAAATTAGAAATTAACATGAAATTATTTCAATTCAAAAGGAGATTGGAATTAAAATATAAATTTCATCAATGCACACAATATAATTTAAATAGATCAAAAGTATTTATGATAAATTAATATCTGACAAATGTAGCAATCATTTTGGGTGGAAATACTAGGTTACTTAGTCAATGATGCTTACTAAATTGTCTATCCATACTGAAGACATTAAAATTAGATCCTTAACACACTCTGCAAGAATAATTTCCAGTTCTATCTATTCTAAATACAAAAAGTAGTAAATCACAGGCTGTAATTTTCAATAGCAAATCAGAAGAAAATTCAAACCATAATTTCCCACTGTGTTTATTCACAACATAAAACTAAGAAATACCCAGTGTAAAACTAAATGACAGAAAATTAAAAGAAAACACTGGAAATACCCAAATACAAAACAAGACAACCTTTGAAACAAGATGGAAAGCCCCAAAATCATAAAGAAAAAGAATTGATAAAATTTCACTAAGACTTAGTTAGGTTATATTGGTTTTCTCTAGATACCATGACCTTCTCAAATAAGCCTAGAATTCCTATAGAAGTCCTATAGAAGTCTGGAACTCAAACATTCCAGAATACTCTGGAACTCAAATTAGACTAAACCTGTGTTCCCTTCGAGAACAATCTGGTAAGTAGACTCTTGGCAATACAGCATTAACAATTAAATGATGCCCTGCTTCTGTCCTATGTAGCAATTGTCAATCCTCCCCTGAGGAGGGTTTACAACATAGTAGAGGTTTCATTTTAATTCATTTTATTACAAAACATTCTCTAAAGGGGCCTGTTGAAAAATGAAACTCCTGTTTATTTGCAAAGCTTGTGAATTCCTATGTGATTAGTCATTGGAATTAGTGAAGTACTATTTGTGTTCATTTTGAAAGCATTATAGCAATCATAGTGACGGATTTCAGACTAGTTTTTATAGTAGGTACCAAGAGATTCTTGTAGAGAAAAGGAGTAATGTTGAAATTCAGTCACCCTACCACCTGTTTTTTTCCCAAGAAATGCTGTTTTTATTGTGTTTACATACTAAAGATGCAACAGATTTTGTTTTTATGGTATTATACAATTCTCAATTTGAAAAAAAAAATGCCTAGGTCTCTAGAAGAACTTTCAACATTCTGAGAACAGAATTCAGACTCCTTTTAAAAAGTAAGTTGTGAGATGCAATTACTAAATAGAAACTTAAGCAGAACTTAAGCATCATGTTTCTGGTTCTTCATAAATATTTAACACGGTGTCAGGCATTTAGTGAATTATTTTTTATTTCAATGATGGAATGAACAGAAAATTGAACAGAAAAATGTTTTAAGGGGGGAAAAAACACAATGTAAACTTTGACCTGAATATACAAGCAATTTTACTGTCGTATCACTTCAAGCTGTGGAGAGTTTTCTTCAGCTGCAAATCACATGGTTTTCATGGCCTCTATTTTTTTGGTTGGTTTGTTTTCTGCTTACTTGCACTTTCAGTTATGGTCTCTTTCTTCAAATTAGATCAAACAAATGTTTACATCAATTGTTGCTCTATGTTTCCAAGATTACACCCTAATACAAGCTTCTGATAATGATCATTTGCTATCAACTCTAAATAAATATATACATACATAGAATGAAATAGTAAAAGGGAAGAAGAAAGAAACAGAGAGACAGAATAGAAAGGAAAAGGGGAGAGGGAAGAGGGGGGAGGAGAGGAGAACCTCTTATTGACAAAACATCTCAGTGCAAAATCCTTACTACCTTATACATGGTGGCTTTTCCTTGAACACAGTAATGACGTATATGAGAGCTATGTGTTTTCGGAGATCAGTTTGGAGCCTGCAAAACTTAACATTTCAGTTTAAAATTATATTCACACAAGAATGAACATGATGAAAAGATTCCAGCTACATCATTACATATTAATTCATTTTACTGATCCCAAGTCCAGATTAGTTTTTTTTTGTTTTGTTTTGTTTTGTTTTCTTTTCTTGGAACAGTTAATGAAACTCAGATGCAAACAATCTTTGGGCAATATAAAACGGGTTTCCTCACTTCTCACCATAAAGTGCAGACACTCTTTTGAACTGTGATAATTTAGCTAAATTAATTTAAGAAATAAAAAAGGAAGAACATTCATATTTGTGCTATTCTGGGAAAATATACCCTTATGTCTCGACTACTCGATATACATTGTTTTAGCCTTTTTAACACAGAGGTCCCTAGTGAAAAGCAATATAACTTTGTGTAAGACATCATAGAAAATCTACATGTGTAGGTTTGAAATGCACATGGAAACTAGAACAGAATTTGGCACACATTAAGCACTCATCAAACATTCGTTGAATAAATAAATTATAGAAATCTACTTCATGTCCACACCAAAACATTCCCTATAGTCTTTAATAAACTTTTTGAAATGTATCTTTCTAAAGTCTCTTATTCTCGACAAAAACAAAATTAAAGACAACACGGCTACTTACTCCCCAAATTACCATTTGATTTACCTGGCCAACCAATCTCACCTTGTTGATTAGAATTAGGTGTCGACTAAGAGTACTTCTTACTGCCCTGAAAGGAAAATTGTCAGCAGGACTTGTAAAGATCTTCTCACTCTGCTTTTAATCTTCATGTACACAAATGAATAATTGAATACCCCCATCATTACTGTGCTTTGCTTCTGTCTCAGTTTCAAATTTAGATCAGTAACGCTCATCTTGGGGGTTACTAATTTGCTTTTAGCACCAGCAGATAAACTCAGCTTAGTGCAATATTTAAATAATTGATGAATAATTAGAAAATAAAAACCAGAAACACCATATACTAATTATCATTTAATTCACATTCACACTTATGAATTTTGAGACATGTCAGCAAGGTAATTAAAATAACACATCCTATTTTTCTTTTAGCAATAGATTTTCATAACGAAAATCATATACTGAGTATATAATTACTAAACTGTTAGGCATAAAAAGAAGTTTCTTTTAGAATGGTGTAATTTAAACATTTTTTTTTAAGGAATGAATCAATTAACTCTGGCATCTGTATTAACACACAGTTCAAAAACACTTGGAGTCAATGTCAGCCACCTGGGTCCTAATAATGCAGTAACGACCACCACGTTTCTTATGTTACATGCGCTCAGTGTCCTCGTTATTGAGTTTTGCTATATCAGTATTTCACATTAATAAGTATTTATCAGACACAATTATGTGTGAGATATATGTTGACTGCTATAGCACTGAAGATAAACAACGAAGATGCAGATGTTGGTCTAAGGGAACATACACCTTTGTTAGATGGGAAGGGAAAAAATAAATAATCACACAAAAATGTGGGAATTCCTAACTGAGAAAAGAGCCCTAAGTTAAAACTATAACGCATTATGAGTTGCTGTTTACACATACTCTTCAACCCGTCTAAATCCTTTGGTACTGAGTTGGGATTTTGGCATTGAGCAAACAGTTATTATCTTTGTCTAATAAAAAAAGTGCCTTGATCACAGGAAGATCGTGGCCACCTTCTTCTGGTTTTGTCAACTAGCCGGTTTGAATCCGAAATACTGCGATAGTGAGAAACTGCGTTCCTTAGAAAATTTTATCATAGAACTATAAAGGTCTGAAAAAGTTACTGTTGTGAAAGTATGGCTTTTTAAAAACATTTAAATCGTTTACTTTATTTTTCTATTTTCATTTGAGCAGTGTTTTCCGCTCATCCAAATGAGAAGGGCTGCATCTGATCTTTATGAAATAATTTGGGGTTTGCTTAATATTTATATTGTGTTTTCCAAGACAAAGACTGTCTCCCAGGTTGATACTTTGATTCAGCTTTGAAAATGATTTCTAATGTGTGATTTACTTTTTAAATATCATTATTGTCTTTTTTTCATCCTATAGAAATGTATTTTGGAATGTAATTTATCTATCAGAGAGTAACTATATAAAACATCTTTTTTATTGACATATAAAGTTGTATTAGTTTTAGGTGTACTACCTAATGATTTCATGTACGTAAAAGTTGTGAAATGATTACTGCTATAAGTTATATAAAATATCACTGGACCCCAAACCTTATTTATTGAATCAAGGTCATTCATTGGTCAGTTGATAGATTTTAATATTTCAAATTTTATTAACGGTTGCTGTGATTTTCTTGGGGAGAATTCCCTATAAAGTTGTCATCTCACAATTTTCTGGGTAGTGAGGGCTGTTACATACAACTGTGCCTCTTAGAACATTGTCGGGAAGCACCTATTCCATTGGAAATACTAGACTGAGGAATCCATCATAAGGTAATTAAGTTCTGTCTTTTTCTGGTTACTATTCATATTTGCTTTGTATTTCCCTTTACATAACATTCCCTGACCATTTATAGCTTTTTTCCTACTCTCTGCCACCTCTTTCTTTCTGCCTAGATGTGTCATGTATTTCATTGTCTATGTTGGATTTTCTGGAATTGTTATTTTTATTAATTCTCCTCTAAATTTCCTCTATAACTGCCTTTTCCACACTCCTCATGTCTGATATATTTATTTTTATATTCATTGTATGTTTGTTAGGGGCAAAAATATACAGAAGTTTACAATAATAACACACATTTTCTTGTCCTCAAATACTTGGCATTTACTATGTAGGCAGGGAATGTAAACTCTTTATACAAATATGTAGCACATTTTCTATTTTACTTCTTTACATACCAAGGGCCATCAACAGTGATGGAAAGTCTGACATACGTGGAAGAGCCAGAACTTACCTGAGGTCTTGGGAAGGTTCTGCTCTGATGTGAGGTGTCTCAACAGAGTGCCCGAATACTGCTCCTTCGGTGCCTGGACAGAACATGAATCCAGTAGTCAGCAGTCAATACAAACAAGTAGACAGACATGTTGGTTTTCATCTCTATTTTTATGCATCAAATATGCATTCAAAAAGGGGACAGCTAGAAACAGGAGTCCAGAAAATGAAACAGAAAAATTGGAAAAAGTGTTCAAGGTAGTGAAGGGCCAAGAAGGGTAAATCCAAATGTCCCTTGGTAGCTAACTTTTAAGATGACCGTATTTAGAAAAGTTTAGATTGAGGCAGAATTTTCACTCTCTGATCAAAGATCCATCCCCTTCCCCTTTCTTATTTCCCAGGTAAGTATATTTGAGGGAGGAATAGATCACAATACTCAGTTCTGTCTTTCTACAAATGGCAGAGCATGAATGAAAATGTGGAGAGGAGCTCCTTTGTAGTATATCATTAATTCTTTTTTTTTTAATGTTTATTTATTTTTGACAGAGACAGAGCATGAGCAGGGGAGGGGCAGAGACAGAGGGAGACACAGAATCCGAAGCAGGCTCCAGGCCCTGAGCTGTCAGCACAGAGCCGCACATGGGGCTCGAACTCACAAACCGTCAGATCATGACCTGAGCCGAAGTCGGACGCTCAACCGACTGAGCCACCCAGGCGCCCCTATCATTAATTCTTTAAAGACATAGGTCTCATGGGACACTTGGTAATTCTCCCCCACACAGCGCCCACTTTTATTAGAGTGATTATCAATAGCAATTTAAGTTGGCTTCTTTGGTACTAAGGCTCTATCTAAAACCATAAACTGCTCAAAATCATTTCTATAGAGTTGACTTCATGTGAGGTCCTGGTTACCTGAACAGGTCATGCACTCTAACACTTTGCTCAGGCACTTGGATGGTATTCCATCTACACTTTCATTTATTGACTCCATGTGATTTTCCTGGATCCCAGAGCTTTTCCATAGTTTATCTGAGCAAAATAAAATGATCTTCCTTTTCAAAAATACAAAAAAAATATTGATGACAAAATCTCATTTTTGTTCTTTTGTAATTTCACATAGATGTTTTAGATCATTCCATATGGATTAATTTTATTTTCTTTTGGTTTAATCTTCATCAAACATTTTGGTGTAAAAATGTCGTGTCTGCTCCCTCAATGGCCCCAACACCAGCTTAATAATACAAATTATACAAAATAATACAAATAATGCAAATAAAATACATAAATTTTAAACCTATAAAATAAAGTTGCTTATGCTTATTGTGAAGAACAATGAAAAATGTATTGATTCAGTATATGAAAAACAAGCAATGATTTCTTCAGTAAACATGAAATTTTCACTAGAAAATTAGAGCTAACACCTAAATTCCTTAAAAATAAGTGGCTTTCTATAGAAATATACTGAGATCACCAGACAACTCCTGTACATAAAACAGCAATGCAGACCTTGATCTTGAATCAGAGAGGAAGAGATTTTTTTCAAAGACAGTAACATGGTTTCATCTATATTATGGTTCTAAGGATAAATTTACAAGGTTCTGCAGTAGTAAATTCCTAAGATTACAGATTTCAATTTACAAGCTAAAAGCTATTGGCATTTGTTGACCTCTCACTGGGTTGGTTTTACTACTTGTTGATGTTTTGTTAAAGAGACTGCAGGGCATATGATACATAGACAGACTATCAGAGCAATTCTTTCTTCATGGAGTTTGCTCTTTTGATATTTTATAAGGTATTTTATTTCTGTGAGTGGAAAATTACTAGGAATAACGTCTTTGAAAATAAAGTAACAGTTTTAGATAAAACCCTAATTTTGTGATGGTGGTGAAGGTGGCATTTGAGAAAACATTCCAATGTATAAGTTTTCATATCCCAACGAGAGACCCCTTTATCATTTTAAGAGGATATAACTTCCAGAAAAAATAGTTATCCATCTGTAAAGTTTAAAAATTAATTTCCACTATTCTATGACTTTGAAGACTTCCCAAACGAGACGACAAAAATATAATTAAAGAACAGTAGCAATATTTATTTTCAAACATGGAATGGAACATATAGTAACTTAGCACAGAACATATCAGCGAAAGTAAAAGGGGAAAGCTATCAAAGCTTTAATTTTTCAAAGAGGATTAAAAGCTGATAGAAGTCTTAATTCTAAGTATCAGTATAGAAAATTATTGATGATTAAAAACAAACAATCCTTGAAGAAATAATGTATAATCATATCCCCTAAGGGGCTAACTTGAAAACTGAATAAAATAACATAAATAAATTACTAACTATAGACCTCCAGATAATGAGAAAAGTACTCTTAACTTCTCCATTATTGTCCCAGAATGAGCCAAGGGGGTAATAATTAATAAGCAATAATGATAATCTTAAAAGGAAATCAGTGAAAGAAGATAAAAGCCATCTGAAGCAAGCACATACTCTCACAGCCTAAAAAGTCAAAATTAAAATACATATTTCTGGGGCGCCTGGGTGGCTCAGTCGGTTGAGCACCTGACACTTGATTTCGGCTCAGGTCATGGTCCTGGGGTTATGGGATACAGCTCCATGCTAAGCATGAGTCTGCTTAAGATTCTCTCTCTGTCCCTCTCCCTCATTCATGCGCTCTCTCACAAAATAAATAAATAAATAAATAAATAAATAAATAAATAAATAAATAAATAAAAAATATGTATTTCCTTTGTAATTTTTGAAAGCTTATTTGTTTATTTTGAGAGAGAGAGAGAGAGAGAGAGAGAGAGAGAGAGAGAGAGAATATGAGCAGGATTGGAGAGAGAGAGAGAGAGGGAGACAGAGAATCCCAAGTAGGCTCTGTGTTGGCTGCTTGATGCAGGGCTCAAACTCATGAACCTTGAGATCACGACCTCAGCCGAAATCAAGAGTTGGACACTTAACCAACCAAGCCACCCAGGTGCCCCTAAAATACATATTTCCTTGGAATTGGGAATTTTTACAAATGTCAGATGATTAGTAAGGTTGCCAGACTTAGCAATTAAAAATATAGGGGATCACATTAAGTCTGAATTTCAGATAAATATGAAATATTTTTAATATAAATGTGCAATATTTGCATGGGTCATATTTAGAGTAAAATTGATGTGTTGTTTGTCTGCAATTCAAAATTAAATCACTATATAGTATACCTGAAACTAATATTACACTGTATGTTAACTAACTGGAAGTTAAATAAAAAATAAAAAAATAAAAAAATATTTTAAAAATAAATGAATTGTAACCTATCTCAAAAAAAAAATTTCAACTGGGCATCATGTATTATACCTGGTGACCGTAACCATCAGTCAACATGTATTTGGTACCAAGAGTACAGATGTGTACAGACCACATTTACTCTCATTTCAGGAAAAGAAGGAATGTGTGATGAATTTTCACATTGTTAGCTATAAAGTCCACGGAAACCGAAAAGACAGAGGGACAGAAAAAGGACAAGAAGGTGCAAAACGCAGACGTTTACTTATATATCATAATATATATAATATGTATGTAACTTGTTGAGTAAATAAACTTGTTTTTAAATTTTATTCTATTGTATTATTTACTTATTTATTTTAATTTATTTGATTTATTTTAATTAACTTTTTTAAGTTTATTTATTTATTTTTGAGAGAGACCACAAGTGAGGCAGGAGCAGAGAGAGAAGGAGAGAGAGAATCCCAAGCAGGCAGGCTCTGCATTGTCAGCACAGAACCTGATGCAGGGCTCGAACTCACAGACTGTGAGATCATGACCTGAGCTGAGGTCGGATGAAGCTTAACCCACTGAGCCACCCAGGTGCCCTTTATTTATTTATTTTAGAGAGGGAATGAGAGCAGGGGCACAAGTGAGCTGGGGAAGGGGTATGGGGGGGGGAGAGAGAGTGAGAGAGAGAGAGAGAGAGGTAGACAGACAGACAGCGAGAATCCTAAGCCAACTCCATGCTCCCAACATGGAGCTTGATCTCACAACTCTGGGATCATGACCTGCGCTGAAATCAAGAGTCAGACCTCCACCAACCCAGCCACCTAGGTGCCCCAAATATTTGTTGTTTAGTATTGTTTTAAGGGACCATTCAAAAGGGTATAATGTTCTATTCTGCTTGACTATATAGATGTTGAAGGGTATATCAGTTTAAAGTGATGATGATGTTTTAAGACTTGGGGAAAACATAGGCTGTTGACTATTGTAAAGGTCAGGAAAGATGGGACAAGCAAACTTTTGGGTCAAAAAAACACTGGATGTCATTCAATGATAACAACTGGCTTCAAAACCAAGTAAGCAGGATGGCATATTCTGCTTTGCTGGGGAGGAGAAAGACTATATACATGGACTGTGATCCTACTCCACATTTAAAGACAGTTTAAGACAGTGTAAGTAGAATGCTACTTTTTACAAATGCCTAACATAAAATGCCATCCTCCGCACAAAATGAAAAATGCCATTAAAATTAAATTTACATATCCCTCCTAATGTGGTTTTCCATACTCTAAATGTTTTACTTGAAGTTGTTTGCCATTAGCCCCAGAACAGAGGTCACCAAAAAAAGAAACCAAACCAAAAATACTTGGTGTTCCCAGGTTCTTCCTCGAGTTTATAGTAACTAAATATATATTTATATTTATATTTATATTTATATTTATATTTATATTTATAT